TTCTGCCATCTCACATGAATAGTAAGAAAAGTAGTTTAACTCCTGAACATTTTTTTCGTACAGTTTGGAAAATGCTTACTAACCGATATTCCCTCTATTCCTAAATATAAGTCTTTCTACAGATTCCACTACATACATACGGAGCAAAATGAGTGAACCTACACTCTAACATAGTCTATATACATCCGTATGTAGTTTGTATTGAAATTCCTAGAACGACTTATATTTAGAAACAGAGGGAGTAGAAGAGAAATCAATATTCTCACATTGAAGATATGAGGCAAGCACCCACCTACAATCTGTCCATCACCCCATTGGAAGCCAAGCTCCCCTTTTGCTCGGTTCCTCACTGCTGCACGTACCGATTAGTGGGGACATATTTTTTTTGTCCTATCTACTTTGGAAAAGAAGAGGTAAGGACCTACAGTACTGCAAATCTTCATATTTAAACATATTAACAATCCCTTGTTTTTCTTTCAGAAAAGCAATCCCTGGTTTTATTATAATTATAGATTATCTTAAAATCGATTTCTACTTTGTGATTTGTCAAAGCATAAAGAACTGTGTAGAATAAGAGGTCGTATTTCAATGATTTGGATGTTGCATTGACATCAGATAATTACCTACTGCATGTAATAGCTAGTGATCGATGGATGCAAGTTGGTATAACTTTAATGTCAAATGTATAGAAAAATATCCAAAGTCTACTCCTGGTGTTGCTGCAAGGATTAGATGCTGGCATGCTGTGACTGGAACCAGCAGAAATTATACAAAATGCACAATTTTAAAATTTATGAACTAATTGAGCATGTTTTTCTCTTCGTGTTGCAGGTAAACAAAAACATATAGATCAAATAAGTTAGATGAACCAGCAGATATTTTATTAGTGAGCTCTATAGATGCAGCAATCAGTAACAGACCATCTCCATGAGCTTTGACTCCATGAATAGTACTTAATACAGGAAAAAGGGAAGGCCAATATTGCTCAATTGTTACTGAAATTTTAAAGGAAATCAAGTGGCACTACAACATCAGGACATATGTGTAGAACGAAATGCCCATTGATTGCAGTAGAAGACAATTCACTTCATATCCTTTCAGAATAACACATTAACTCTTGGAGCATGTACAACAGAAATGGAACATAAAGCTAACCAAGAATACATATCCATGTGCGCCACTTTCAGAATATATGACATAGTACCTCTGAGATATCTAACTTGTTGTTTCCATGCATTCAAGAAGCACTTAATTACTTTCAGGGATCTTATTACAAATTTAATTTGTTTGATTCAAACTTATGTAGTAGCATGGCATTTTTCTGAGACATCCAAAAAAATATGTTTACATATCAAATAGGCAACACCAGTAATTATTGGTCCAAATAAGGCATGGACAGGTTTGCATCTGCTAAAGAACATTATATTGTTTCTCCTATTCCACAACCTATGACCACATTTAAGCATGGACAGATTCGTGTATATGATAACAGAACAACATGCTCCATGTCATAAATCACAGGCTAGGAGGAAGCGATGCAGATGAGGGTGGATTAGCATACTTGTTAGCAGTTGTGCTTGTCAGCCTAGTGGAGGATGTAGAGGTAGGTGACAGAGCTTCTTCACCTCGGGTGACTGCACCGCCATGTTCTTACATAACATAGTATTCCTACAAATATGCAATTCAGAATAGAAAGGTACAATTATCAGGCTCAGTACCCTATTCAGAACAGAAAAACAAATCTTATTAATTGAAAGGTACCTTGTGCAGATATATAAAAGTTCAGTACCCTGTTCCTCCTTTCCAAATCTACCAGACTGCTTAATTTACAAACAAAGAAACCTGTGCTGCTTGCCATGGAAGAGATGGAGGCGGGAAAACAAAACCTTAGAAAACATGATGGTTGTATAACCCCAGAAATGTCAAGGATTTGGCATGAGTGTCACAGGCGGCCAAGCAAATCTGCTACTTATCAACACACACACGCATGCACAGTACATATTGTCAACCAAAGTAACAACAAATCAGAGACATGTGCCACATGTTGTCCCCATAGTTTAATGGAATGGATTGTATCTAATCAGGACATCCAATCAGTGGTTTCATCATCACAAAGAACTCACGAACATGTACAACAATGGAGCAGGTACCTTTGTCTGCTTGGAGCTCCTTGTGCGGGTCATGTTGTGGATGCCCTCCATGGAAGGAAGGACCTGCTGCTGCTGCTCCAGCCCGAATCAAATCAAGGCGGTTAGACCCTACAATCCATCCATATACAATCAGGTATTTGCACTGAAGATGCAAATAGTCCACTGTAGACACTGCAGCAGAGAAGAGAGGGAGCTTCACCAATAGAGCAGAAAAATCAAATGGAATCCAACAGAGAGAAGAGAAGAAGGAAGACCTGCAGATGGTGGAGCCCTTAAGGATGATGACCTGCAGATGGTGAGGGAACCCCATCACCATCTGGAAGAAGACGGCTTGAGCTACTGGTCCATGGCGATGTTGGATGTGTGCCTGCGTGAGGGAGAGAAGAGCATCAGGGAAGGGGAGGGAAGAAGGGCAGAACCATGGCATCGACACTCACCAGGGTGGAACATTGACGAGCAGCTCCATGGCGTGGGTCTCCTTGACGAGCAGGTCCGATCCAGGCGCGGATCTTTCCGCCGCCATGGATCTCCCACTCCTCTCCTCTCCTCTCGGGATTCAAGCGGTCGTCGACGGATAAGAGGAGGGGCGGAGCGGATTTTATCCATCGTCGAGGTAGCCACCACCGTCATCATCGCCGTCGGTCACCATGGCCCAGCGGCTAGGTCTTCCAGTGCGAGGAGTGAGGGAGGGAGGGAGGGCGGATCTGACCGCTGCCTGAGCTGTCGCGGGGGGAGGGGCGCCGTGGCCATGAAGGCCCGCCTCCAACTACAAGGAGTGCGCGCCGCCGCGCCGGATCCTTCTGTCTCCCGCGCCCGTCCATCGTCACCCGGCTCCGGCGAGCTCCTGCGTGGGTCGCCGCACCGCCCCACTTTTCTCCCTTCTTCTCAACCTCACCACCCAGTCTCTTCTCTGCCATGGATCCGCCCGGGAAGCCGCGCTCCGGCCTTCCTCGCCCCCCGCGTCGCCGCCCACCTCCGGATCCGCCTCCAAGCCCCCGCCGTGCACGGATCCGCCCCCTGCAAGCTCCAGTCGCGCCGCCCATGTAAAAAGGACCGCGTTTTGAATATACCAAAACATAGGGTCCTTTGTGCAAAATTAAAGCATTTTTCCAGATCCACTTAAACAGGGACTGCGGGTTGAATTCGAATAAACTGAAGGACTTTTATGCAAAATCGATAGCGACGACGGACGACCAGAAGCACTCCGTGCTTTATTAGTAGGGAAAGATGGACTGGTTATATGTTGTTCCACACGTAGACATACATACGTCACTGGTGAAGGAACAATCACGTCGTAGGTGCGTGACATTTTACGAGTAAATGTTGTAAATGCCACAGATTGCATTGTGCTACCATCCTCAAAACCAAATTCCTGGTTGGCCCTAGATCAAAGAACTCACGGGAGTTTGGAACACTGGGGTTTATCATCAACCATTTTTGCAGTGAGGATCTTTCCATGAAGCATGGGCCAAGAAAAAAAGAGGCACTCCGACTCTCTTTTCCGATCGAGAAGGGAAGGTGTGACCAACCGGACTGCAATTGCATATGATGTGTAGATTTCGCCGAATTGAACCTTGGCCGTGTTTGGATCCATGGATTAGAGTTAGTTTGGGTTAGTTTGGACTCAACTAACCTAAAAATATCCAAACATGAGGGTTAGTTTGGGTTAGATACATCTAACCCATCCAAAAAACTAACCCATCCAAGAGGTGCTTATTTGGGTTAGTTCTTCTCGGTACCACTAAAAGACACATTTTTCTCTCGCTCTTCCCGCAGCAGGTCCCTCCCTACTTCCTCGAAGCTTCTTGTCCTCTTCCTCCTCCCCTCTTGCACCACCGTGAAGGCGCCTCGCCGTATCCGCGCTCCATCTAACCCTGTCATCCAAACACCTCTTTGGTTAGAGTTAGTTCAGGGTTAATTCAGGGTTAGAATCTAACTCTAACCTCTAACCGAGTTAGAGTATCCAAACAGGGCCCTTGATGTGGCTAGCTTCCAACTGATGGTGCTGCTAGAGTGCTCGTTAAGGACGAAGTAGCCATGACGCCAACGGTGCATGGTATTAGTTATGTGTTGTTCGGTGCCGACATTTTGGAGGGACGAATCTAACTACAAGCATGAAGCTCCTTTTCGACCAAATGATATTTTCTACTTGCGTCGATCTTCAAGCCGTATAACAGATGTTTCATGTTTGATCCAATTTCCCCATAACTTGGATCAAATTTTGTTCTTAGTTCTCTGAATGAGCTTCGTAGCTCCATCAAGGTTCCTCAAAAACATTGCAGGTCGGTATGAGCATCATATGTGGCGATTTGAGCACTATTTCTTGAATACCTGACAAATTTCTGCCTAAAGTCAAGCACCATTTCCTTGCAAAAATCATTGAAGCTAGTATTGGCCGAATCTTTCAAATCAAAATAAAACAAAATCAAGCATCGTCCACTTGAAAAGGAACTTGTCCGTAATTACTAATCTTTAGAAGGACCATCTGCAAAAAGGGTCAAATAGAGCTAAACAAAAACCAGAGATATTCCAATTCCAAAAGAATATCACCACCTGCAAAAAAGATCAGAGGCCACCATTAAACTAATTCAACAGGTGCAAGGGATTAGTAGCCGGGAACCCTTCCCTAACCCCAAAATCATCAATCAGTAAACTAATCGCCCCCCTAAGCACAACCCCATACATATATACGCGCACACCTACACCCATCAGCAACACCACACCGCACCTCATCGCAAATCCAAAACAAAACGTCTCCGCCGACGACCCGCACCCGATAGCCGCCCCCTTCTCCGCGGCCCGCTTCGCCTTCTCCGGCGAGAAACCCCCACACCGGTCTCACCGGCGGCCATGCCGGCTACGGACTACCAGGGCTCCTCCTCCTCCCACTCCCACTCCCCGTTCGCCTCCTTCGGCCGCTCGCTGCTGTCCCGGAGCCGGGACACCCCGGCGTCCCCCGCCATGCTCCCGTCCGGCGGGGAGGCCGAGGTCGAGGCGTTCCAGCGCCACGTGGCCGTCAGCCTCGCGCAGCTGAGGGACGGGGAGGATTTCCTCTCCGTCCCGTGGATCCGGCGGCTCCTCGAGGCGTTCCTGCTGTGCCAGGAGGAGTTTCGGGCGGTCGTGGCCGAGGCGCGGCGCCGCGGCGGCGGAGGCGCGCTGGCGGAGAGGCTGGTGGGGGAGTACCACGAGCGCGCGGTGAAGGCGCTTGACGTGTGCAACGCCGCCCGCGACGGGGTTGACCAGGTCCGGCGCTGGGTGCGGCTCGCCGGCATCGCGGCGTCCGTGCTGCTCGCCCCCGACGAGATCCACGAGGGCCAGCTCCGCCGCGCGAGGAAGGCGCTGTCCGACCTCTCGATCCTCCTCGTGGACGACGCGGCCGCCGCCGGGGGCGGGGGCGGCGTCGCCTCCTTCCTCGCCTCCCACCGCAACCGCTCCTTCGGCCGCGGGAGCCGCGCGTCCCCGTCTCGCGCGTCCTCCGCCTCTTCCTCGTCCTCCTCCTCCTCGCACTTCCGCTCGCTCTCGTGGAGCGTGTCCCGCACCTGGTCGGCGTCGCGGCAGCTGCAGGCCATCGGGGCCGGCCTGGCCGCGCCGCGCGCGCACGAGGCGGGCCTCGCCGCGCCCGTCTACGCAATGGGGTGCCTGCTGCACCTCGCCTCGTGGGCGCTCGTCGCGGCCGTCCCGTGCCCGGACCGCGCCGCGGCGCTCCAAGCGCACCACCTCCCCGCCGCGCCGCCGCGCGGGGCGTTCGCGTGGGCGCCGCCGCTCCTGACGCTCCAGGACCGGCTCACCGAGGAGGGGAAGCGCAAGGACAGGCGCAATTCCTGCGGCCTCCTCAAGGAAATCCACGCGCTCGAGAAGTGCGCGCAGAGGCTCGCCGAGGCGATCGACGCGGCGCCCATCCCGCTCACCGGAGAGAGGGAGGCCGCGGTGCGGGAGGCCGCCGCGGAGCTCGCCGCCGTGTGCAGCACCATGAAGGACGGCCTGGAGCCGCTGGAGAGGCAGGTCCGGGAGGTGTTCCACCGCATTGTGCGCAGCCGCATGGAGGGCCTCGACTCGCCGATGCCCAACGCCGCCGACTGAACCATCATCAAGAATCCGCATTTTGGCCGCGCGCTGCGGCGACGGCGATAGGTAGCTCCTCTCCCGTCCGTGGTTTTTGATCACCCGTGATCTGTCTCGCAGTCAGCAGTAGTATAAGTTTAAAATGTGTATCGTTCTGTAAAGGAAAGGGGAAAGGGAAGGAACCATCTTTCTGCAAAGATTTATTCCTTCTTCTCATGTTTTGATGCTGCATTTGGTGTGTATCATCAGATTTTTTGTTAGTCGTCTAGGACGTGCGCGCGCGGCTAATTCTTGAGTTACTTGCGTCTGTGAGCTCTCTGCGACTGCGAGGTCGCTTGCTCTGATCTTAGAATGTCATAGAAAAGAGGGGAAAATGAAAAAAAAAATACTGGAGTGATTAGCTTCTGTGTTGTTCTTGACTCTATAATGTCCACATTCTCATTTTTGGTGTCATCTGGAACATTTTCAGTTTGAACATTAGCTTAAGGCGTTGGTACTCTTTGTCCCGAGATATGCCGCAGTTAAAAATGTCCCCGCAAAAAAATTGTCTCCAATTATGGATTATTTCCCAGTTCTCTATATGATCAAGATTATTGCCCAGTTCTCTATATGTGGATTGTTTGTCTGCTTATCAGGAGTAAAAAGAGCTTCTCAGGATAAAATCCCCACCATGTATAGTACAGTATATAGCTTTTACAATTACTAATAAAGCAGTCTGCAGAGTGACAAATCGGCAAGAGACAATAGCATGGAATGGATTATGAACAAGAGCTTTCTTTTTTCGAGTTGGTATGATCAAGGGCTACAAAGTACTCCCTCCGTCCCATAAATAATATAAGACATTTTATCAAACTAACAAAGCTTGCAAAAACATCGTACATTATGGGACGGAGGGAGTATATAGCAACAGATCACGGCTTATGAACAAGAAATTGCAGAACAGAAAGCAATTCGACTGAATCCAAATACCAAGTGCATGAAATGGCTTATGTTAATAACAACCTGATGCAGTACCAAGTGCATGCTCGTCTTGTAGTTCAGTCCTGCATTCAGCTGCACCCCTGTACACAGTACACGGTGTCTACTTTGGTAGATGTATCTGCCCTCCCCATATCATTTCAGTATTTCTCTCATAAAATCTTCGGTTTTGCGCTTAGTTCTGCTAGTTCACTTAACAAGTCCACGGGTGTTCTCACTAGTTTCTGATGAACAATGGAACAATCTTCTTCTTCTTCCCCTTTCTACCTACAAAATTCCACTAGTCCATGGAGCTGTCCTCAGAGTGACCGAACGGCTGTGGCGGCAGACAAGACAGCAATGTTCCTCTCAGAAAAGGGGTGTGATGGGTTTGAGAGCTCGGAAC